TCTCTCTGTCTCCCCCCAAAATAAATAAACTTTTTTTTTTTTTAAAGGGGCAGAATTCTGCCCTCCTGGGAGTTTACAATATCAACACAAATAGCTTAGCTCCTTAAGTTGTAGAATAATACAGTACCTGAAAAAAAAGGCAACATATTGGTTTGTTTTTATTTTTTTAATTTTTTTATTTTATTTTTTTTTATTGGTTTATTTTTATAGTGTGTTCATGAGCATGGAAGTGTATTTTCTACAGTGTGTTCATTACAGTGTCATGCGATAGTATGCGGTTATTATCAAACTGGTTGGTTTTGTTCCCAAAAGAAAATTACGTTAATTTTCATCCTGAAGCCAATTTAAAAGAAACGTCTCTTTACCCAGCACAGAAACAGTTCCTTGACTAAGACTCTCCCTTTACCTTTTAGATTTAGCCGTCATCCGGATTTCCCATTTTCTGATGAGTGTTAACAGCAATGTCTGTGCTCCCTCCAGAGTTCTTTGATTTGGTTCGATGATTGGCGAACACCAGGCACTTGGTTTATCCCCTGTTGCTGCCTCGTCAACCACAGTGTGACTCCGCAGGTTAGGAAATGAAAGTCTCTAAACCCAGTCTTTTCCCTCCAAAGTAAATGAAAATACGTTTCAAACAACCTAACCTATCAATGCCCTGACTTTTTAGTCTGTTTTGCTGTTTCCTGTGTCACTGAGGTTAAAATGCTGATATGCACTGAAGTGATCACAAGGAAAATATAAAGCCCTAAAAAAAAAAAAAAAAAAAAAAAAAAAAAAAAAAAAAACTAACCATTTAGTTATTTCCAAAGTCTAGCTTTTTACTTGTTCATAAGAATTTTTTTCTCTTTGGCTCTGAGAATTTACTACACTTATACAATTTTATCAGACCTTTTAAAGGGATCTAAAACTCAATTCATAGGTAATATGAAAACTGTCATATTTCCACAAAAAAATTAGTCATAATGCCACAAACAAGGAAAGTGTCAAGCTGAATGAAAAAGGACGACCGAGATCTGAAAATTATCTGATAAAGATTTTAAAGCCACCATTATAAACACTGTTCCAACGAGCAATGACAAACACACTTGGAACTAGTGGAAAGATAGAAAGTTTCAATAAAGAAACAGAAGATATAAAGAATTACAAAATGGAAATTTTAGAGCTGAAAATTACAAGAATCAAAACAAGAAACTCAAAGGATAAACAGAGGGGGCGCCTGGGTGGTCCAGTTGGTTGAGTGTCCAACTCTTCCATTTCAGCTCAGGTCATGATCTTACGGTTTGTGGGCTCAAGCCCTGAGTCAGGCTCTTCGCCGACAGTGGGAAGCCTGTTTGGAATTCTCTCTCCCTCCCTCAAAAATAATTAAATAAACTTTAAGAAAAAGACATTGAGGGACAGAGGAAATAATTAACGTACTGGAAGATAAAACAATATAAATAACCCAACAGGAACAAGAGAGAGAAAGTCAGCTGGAAAAAACAAAACAAAACAACAGCCTTGTGGACCTTGAAGAAGAACAAAAGTTCTAACATAGTGTCTTTGGAGTAGAAGGAATTTGGAGATGTTGGTAAAAGATACGACTTTTAAGTTATGAGGACCTGATGTTCGGCATGGTAATTACAGTTAATGATATTGGACTGTATAATTGATATTTGCTTAAAGACTAGATCGTGAGTGCTTTCACCAAAAAAAAAAAGGTGACCAGGGGCGCCTGGGTGGCTCAGTCGGTTGAATGTCCGACTTCAGCTCAGGTCATGATCTCGTGGTCTGAGTTCAAGCTCCGTGTCGGGCTCTGTGCTGACAGAGCCTGGAGC